TGCTGCTGCTGCGGCGGCTGCTGTCTCTGCTGCTGCTGCGGCGGCTGTCTCTGCTGCTGTGCTTGATGCTGTTGGGCCTGTTGATTTGGCTGTTGTTTCACCTGCTGCTGTCCTTGCTGCTTTTCCACCAGTGCTTTGGACTCTGACGCTTGAGTTCTACTTTGAGTACTGTTGCGACTATCGTCATTTCTGCCAATAAGCACGAGGCCAGGACGGCTAGGATGAATGCTGTGGAACAAGGTCCCAGATGGCTGGGATGTTGAAGCTGTCTGGTGAGCTGGTTCTGGCAGTGGCTCTTGATTGTGGCTGCTACTGTTGAAAGTGTCTGTATACAACATACTCTTATCCCCACCAGTCTGAGCTGTAGCGATTCCAATGTCTTTCTCATTGCCTGCAGTATATTTGGCAGTATGTCCATAGTCAATGACTTTGCTTGGTTTAAGAACTGATTGCATTTCATCCTGGGGCATTGTTGCACCTCTGAATCCACTTAATTTGTCCATTCTACTCACACTTGCAATGGGTGGAGGTTCGCTGTAAGGTTTTGATGGAACTGCAGGTGGAGCTCTCTTGGACTTCTTTAAATGGATTTGCCTTAAGATGAACGGCAGGTTTTGAGGCGTGAGCTGGTCTTCGGGGTATGTGATGAGTTGTTCCAAGTCTTCCTTTTCAAGTCCAAATTGCAAGAGAATGTTAGAAGCCGATTCTGAAGTATACTTGGGGCGACTGGACTCCGGGAGCCGCACAGACCTTTCTGGCACAATACTGCCATAGTTACCAATGCCTGGAATGGACTGCGTATTACAGTTTCCTTCCATGGAGAGGTTAAACCTACCGTCACCACTGTTTAAAAAGTTGGATGAAGTGGATGAATACATTTTTGAGGGATCATCTTCTGTGGGCCTTTTAAACAAAGACAACCAGTCCAAGGACCTACTGGCAATGTCAACTGTTGAGGGTCTGTTTCCTAGCAAAGCTGAAGATGACTGAAAGGACATCACATCTGTGTTCGAGGATGGAAACACTTGTCTTTGGGTGCTGAAGGGAACGTTCTGGTTTACAGACTGATGCCTCGCCTCCTCCCTGGCTCTGCTAATATTCAAGTCTAAGCATCGCTCTATGTCCTCATCAACTGTTATCCTGCTTCTCTCAGGTCTGTAGTTCACTGGCAGAGCAAGTGGTGGTGGTAGAAACCCTTCAGATGTCCCCCGTGTCAGAGGCGCAATTCCAGAAGAGTAGCTGGACCCAGGTTCAAGGCGAGGCAACACTATTCGAGAATCTCTTACTGTCTGTCCACTGGAGAGTCCATATTGCCCCTGGGAGGAACTTTGTTTCCCAGGGACAAAGGGGTTAAACATAGGATGAGACATGGTGTTAGCAATCTTCAGAACATTCAGAAGATTGATGGCCACAGCAGTTGGTGAAGGTGGTGTTGTGGAAAGACGTGAAGATGGTGTGTTGGAGTTCGCTGTAAAGGTCACAACTCGGCCGCCAACAGGAAAAACATTGTTCATCTGTGTCAATGCCAGCTGAGCCTTGAGTTGAGCCAACTGCAAGTATGCAGTCTGCCCTCCAGTCAGTGGTGGGCTCCCAGAAAGCCCTCCAAAGAGGGGGTTCGTTAGAGGCCCTGGAGCAGGACAATGGGGAGAATGCTCCAGTAGTAAAGAAAAGCTGAAAAGTTTAAAGAAAAACAAAGCAAAGGGGTTACTGAGCGGGACAAGACTTTTCAGCAATGTGGACGAGTTATCCACCATTTGGAAGATCCCTCCCCATTTGCCTATCAGTCAACAACATAGCAATTCCTTCAGTGTAATTTTTATGTCTTCACTACAAAAAAACAAGAAGTACAAATAAAAAGAACGATAAACAACAAAGAATAGTCCTAATAATTAACTGATTACAGGCAGAGGAAATTAGTTTCCTGGAAGCAGCAACAGGAAAACATTTGTTTGGGTAACAAGATCCTGTTCTGACTGTCAGTAGCTCTGAGAAGAAAAATAACGTCAGCAAAAGTTTTGATCCAACTTTTGACAATTTAGATTTACTTGGGACTTTTTAGTGTGCACTTCTGAAAATGATGATACAGTTCATGATATAATCGGTTTCTGAGTTGTAACATCTTTTCTTCCTCTAAGCCTGAGGTCTGAAACCATTACAATTAAGAGACCATTTTGTAACAACTCCTACTAAATACATGCATAAAACCACAAGATCAACTTGACCAAAACATAAAAAAGCAACAATGCAACTGGTTGTTGGTGATTTTTCCACTTGGCAGGCTAAAACTTTTGAAGTGCTTCAGGTACAGCACAAGGGTTTCTATTGGTTTTAGGTTTTTATTTCAATTGTTCTTTGAATAAGCCGATTTATGTAGGTACAACATACTTTTCTGATAGTTCAATTTACAATACCTATCAAAATTGCTTTCTTAGCCATTTGCCTCAATTATTTTGAAAAACATTGATTTTCTAGTGGACTTTTCAGTGAATACACACTGTATGTCAAGAATTTCTCAACGGAAAACAATGTAGGGAGCAAGCTAAAAAACTGAAACTACGAGACCTAAAATATTATTAAAACAAAACTAAGGGACTTATATTCTTAAGTTGAAAACATTTGCCATTTGGGAAGTTTTCGCATCGTTATTTTTCTATTTATCTTTTATTTAACTACTGAGCAGTTTGCCATGTCCCAAATAAATGAGAATTTCCACTGGCAACAAAACTTTAGTTAGTTAATTTCAAATTTAGCCAACGCTGGTAATGAATTGAGGGGAAGTTTTGTGCACAAAGCAGTTATAATTATTGATGTCTGCTAATCTCTGGTAATATTTTGGTTCACAAATGCAGCCTAACTGTATTATTAGAGTCATTCTGCCACAGAAGGACATATACTGCAAAATGTTAGATGGGGACAAAAATTATTAAAGTAGATGTTTTGTTGCCAATTTAAACCAAAAACATTATTCAGGTGGTTAATGTTGGTTTTGGTCAATAATATAGTGACACTTTAGAGATGAAGAACCTCATGTTGTAAACCTTCACACAAAAATCAGTAATAATGCGTTGAATGGTGCATTCATATCTGATCAACACAAAGCACAACTGACAAACACATAACGCGTGACACACTGAGGGGAAAAATAAAACAAAGTTTTTGCCGAGGCGGTAATGCTTATCCGACACAAAAACTATAGTAAAGAGAAAACGTAAAAAGAAGGCTGACAATGCCAAGACGACCAATCTAGAAAAGGTAACTCCACTTCCTCTTAGGTCACCAAGATCAATCTTGAAAATTCAAAACAAAAACAAGAATTCTGCAGGTGAACCTACAAAAAGAAGAAACAGAGAAGTCGATTGCTTTGCCTCAGGGTGGTGTTGAGCCTTTCACCTGGTGGTCGCTCGTTTCAGGACGACGTACACGTGGACTCTGCACAGTTCAATAAAGGCACAGCTCCGTCGCTACCTGAGCTTCCTGTGTCAAGGTTTCCAGAACTCTGAAGGAGAATGAACGTCCAGGAACTCTGTTTCACATTTTGTTCTTCAGCTGATTTAAGAAAATCAGCAGCAAAACGGCGTGCCTTCTTATGTTCAATAAATGCATTATTTAATATTTGTGTCACAAAACAATAATCACAACACTTAAGAAAACAAATATGCTTTCCTGTTACAATTAATAAAACCTCTGCTCTGGAGCAACTTCCCCTTTCGTGTTTTTGATGACCATAATTTAAAAAGTCGTTCAAGTTAACCTAACGTACTTCACTGAAATTATTTTTGGAAATAAAATGAATTGTGCCACTCGGGGTGGCTGCATGTTGGAGTAGCTGTTGCATTCATTCTGTTATTGCTTTTGAAAACTTTAATTCCTTTTTTTTCTGGATGTAAATCAGTCTCTTCGGATGATCTCTTCGGACGATTGCTTCCTCTGGTATCGGATGCTGTGCAGCTTTTGGGCATTTGTTATGATGCGTAACCATGACAACACTGTTTTTAACTACCAGGAGCAACTGAATAACATCTCAAAAGCTCAGTAATACCTCAACAACAGCCCAAAAAAAAAAAATCAGAGTTGAAAAGGAGGCGCCGTGGATGAATTCCCGTCAATCTGGCAGCTGTGCTCAAGTCCCTGACGAGATCCTGGAGCTGGTGGGAAACTCGGCTCGTGACAACGGGAGGACGGGATCGTCCTTTATCGTCTTCAGCTGTCAGCTCGGCAGACTGCAGGGAGGAGTGACCACCATCAGGGAGGAATAATGCCCGGCATTCTCCTTCTGCCCAGGAGGACCGAGAGGCCCACCGGACCCGACAGCAAGCTGGATCCGTGTAGATGGATCGGTATTTGTGGCCAGATTCTTCGGATTCGCTGCAGGAGATCCTTCCTGCCCATGCTTTCCCGTATTTCTGAGGCTACATAAACCACCTTTTGTTCTGGAGATGCACATCTGCAACTTCATCTATTCCATGTCACATGCAGCAAACCTTACAAATCTGCAGCCGATGACGTAACGTATAAACACATTTCTCTGAAAATAAGCCACAAAATCATACTACTGCGTCATAAACTTACCAACAATTCATTTAATAGAATTTTACACCATGAAAAAAGTATTATTTGGTTAAACTCAACAAAATGTTGAACAAATTTCAACATTCAGATCGTAGGCCATCATGCTAACGTTAGCATCGGCCGGGCCCGTTTGCTGACAACGATCACAAACTACTGGAAAACCACCATTTTTCCTCGCGCTAAATCTTTTGATTTATTTTTTTCTTACATACCACTCGTTGTCTGCGATTATCTCCCACTTTTCATTAACCTAAACGTCTCCTGGCGTCGATGGAAGTATTATTTTAGCTCCGTCCTTTAACATGGCAGGTCGTTAGCGATCAGGTCAACGAAGAAACGAACGTAACCGTAACGTTCCGACACTTCCGGTCTGCGTGTGCCTTCACAGTAAAAGCACGAATGGCCGACAGTTAGACAAGTTCTGCACCAATTGCTCAACAGCACAATCCGGCGGAGCACAAGTTAGGCGGGGTTTACATAAAATTAATACGGCTGATAATCCGCTTTTATAAATGGATATTTGACACAAAACATGGTTAACTGAAGGTGATAAATCCTCCACTAAAACCTTTGTTTCCCTTCTTTAAGATGTAAATTCAACCGCCACTCGCAGGAACAGTAAGCCGGCTCGTCTGTGATTATTAAAAAGGAGCGGAAGCACTATGTACAGCTGCAATATGGTTAAAATTCAAACCCGTAATACACAGTTTGGCCAGTATGAGGCAGAAGTAACTAGGTATAAAATGATAAGGTAATCAATTTTTAAGTTATATGGCAAAAGTTAACATGTAAAAAAACGATATTGCTCATTTTAGTTATGCAGTTCATCTACAGTGAGAGCAACACTCTGTATTTTGTGTCTAGTTTTTTTTTTGGTCTCCACTGTCAGCTTTTTGTCCATGTCTCTGTCTACAGACACAGATTGTGCTGTTAAGCTCTTTGAGTGTCTTGATTAGACAGAAAGGTGCTATGTTAGGATTACAGTACGGCTCTAAAACTGGTGATTCTGTGCTGCTTGTCCTGTTGGACCTTACAGCCGCCTTTGACACCATCGACCATGAGATCCTCATTGCTTGGTTGGAGCAGTGGGTGGGCATCACAGGTTCAGCCCTCAGTTGGTTCAGATCCTACCTCACTGACAGATCCTTTTGTGTCTCCATCAAGGATTTTAGTTCTGCAGAGG